AGCTGTTTCTTGACAGTGTCTTGAATGGAGCGGCCTTCAATTTACTGAATAATTTTCAGAAATTTAACCAAGGTGAACTCCTTTGTATTTTATGTTCCGAATGAGTGTGTCAAATTAATCTGGTCAGAGGAGGAGGTCATCAGTGCAATGTCATACCTGTGTCCTGGAGAAAATAGGGTACAGTTAAGATCTTGCCCTCAATGATTATATGTCATGTTGAGGTACCCCATGGTGGCCAGGTAGAAATGAATTGAGTTCCTTTGTAGGCAAAGGCAAACTGCAGTCCAGAGACACTTGAAATAGGCACTGAACAGAACATATTAAATAATCTTAATAGCAAAATATTTACCAGTTTAGTCAGTAATTTCAATTATATTGGATATGGGTCCTTAGTGAGGTCTACAGCAATAAGCTTAAAGTAATCCTCTGTGAGGCACCATTCATTCTTCCCAAGAATAAGAACAGGCCAAATTGGGCTGTTACATGGACAAGCAGTGGGGATAATCACCCCTTCTCTAAATAGGTCTTACATAATAGGTTTCAATCATTAAAGGCCCTGTTGTAATTTACATTGGGCTATTTTAACTATTTTAATGGAGGAGGCGATATGTCCATGGGGTCCGTTTTATCAAGGCAATTTAAGTGCCAAAGACTTAATTGTAATTCGTTGCTTATTGAGTTAAAGCGTCCATGACCACTATAGGATTCTTTTAGGGCAATGGGTATGATGACCATGGGGAAATTTAGGTAAGACAATAGTTCCTGTGGTTGAGATGAGGCATACCTGTTTGTGCTTTGTATTATGTTCAGTAACTTCCGCTAAGGTTGTGGAGGGTTCCTTGTTTAAGTTTAGTGGGATCCCCAGTATTGACTAGAGGCATGAAGATTTGCTTACTTGGTATATTTCAGCAGATGTTAATTCAGAACCAATGTTATAGAGGCCAATCCTACCCTTTTATCTGTTTGTTGTATAAATACTTTTAGTAATTTTTGGATTACCAATTAGGCCAAATTGTGGACTTCTGTTTCAGTTTTTGTTTATTTTGTGTCCTCCTTGTTATGGACTGGATTGTGTTCCCCCTAATTCACATGTTAAAGCCCTAACCCCAATGCAACTGTATAGAGATAGAGCCTTTAAGAAGGTAATTACAGTTCAGTTAATGAAGTCATAAGGGTAGGTCCCTAATCTGAGAGGATTAATATTCTTAAGAAGAGCAAGAGACAAGAGACACCCCACACACATATATACACTTACACAGAGGAAAGGCCATGGGAGGACAGAGCCAAAAGACAGCCATCTGCAAGTCAGGAAGAAAGGCCTCGAAGAAGAATTTCTCTTCTTAAGAGTAAAAAACGTTTGAGGTGATTTGTTTTTAATTTTGTTGTTGTTTTTAACATACCATTTGTTTACATATGTATTTGTTATGGGCACTTAACTCCTCAATTTTTAAGTTGGAAAGGAATGTTGTGTAGCTGAAAACTAAATGCACTAACTAAACTAAATGCACTAACTAAGACAGAATTCTGTATACATAATGTAAAGTTAGAGGGTAGTAGATAATTAGATTATTAGCTACACCATCCACATTATTAGGTATATATCTGATCTTTTAAGTGGGTGATGATTCTTACCCACTTTTAAGTGGGTAAGAATATTATTTCCTTGGGTAAAATTTCTGAGAATTTGTGGGCTGAGCTGAATCTATTAAAAATAGATTGAATCAAAATGTTAACTTCTGTATTTATATAAACAATGATCATTAATAGGTTATTTCGATAGAAATACTGCTCATTAGGGAGTTTCAGTATCTATTAGATAAAAATGGGCCTTTTGTTACTAAAGTGTGAAAATACAATAAATAAGTACATTTAAAATTTTTCTTTTAATTTGGCCATGATTATTCAGTGCCAATTAAATTAATGATATTTTCTAACTAACATTTTATAGTCCAAAGCTGTGAGAGGAGCATTCATATAAGTTACTTTAAAAATATATAGCCCTACAACCTCCGGGTTACCCCTAAACCCCAAGAATAAAAAGAATTTTCCAAGGCACCAAATCTTTTAACATAGCAGGTTTAATGGCAGAAATCTGTTCCAAAGGGACATTATTTGGGAATACAATTTAAATTTCCTTATCAGTTCTTTAGTAAATATATTTTGGGGTCATTACATAAAAATATTGAATAACTTGAAAACTTACTTTTTATTTTGTATTCAGTATGGAGATTTATTCCCAGGGTGGGCTTTTCTGATGCAAAATTGGGATGCTTGTATAGTCACAACAGCTGTCCCCACACCATGTGGTATCTTCCCTTACTTTACTGTAGAGATGAATTTTTGGCCCAGAGTTTCAGTTATATTGGACACACATGGTTTTAAGTGGCAAAGCAGTATGCTTATGCATTCATTTGACTTTCACAGCTACAGTTGGCTCCAGATTAGAACAGGGAGAATACATTCACACCATGGCCACCCTCATGGCTGCTGTAGTAGCTGGATCACAGGAGGCTCTGTTGCTTCTAAAGACACAACTAACTATTGCTGAGGAATTACACATTCACCAAAGAGCTTGCTGTACAGCTGTACGAGGGAGAATAATGAATTGCTAAAAAGGTTCTCTCAGATTTCAGATTATTGTCCTAATGATTATTGACTTTTTAAAAATATTAATAATAAAAATGATGGCCATGACATAACTATGAAACTAAAAAGAAAGATTGTTATAACAGGTGGGTGATTTTTTTCAGGATATCAATCCAAACATTTTATTTAAAATCTTTCCATTCCGTTCTCATTAGAAAGGAATTATTAATAAAATCAGATTGGTTTTTAATACCCAGTGTTCATATGTGTAGCATAATTGGAAAGCTAATCTATTAAAAAATATAAATTATTTTAAAGAATTCATTTGTGAAACTATATTTTTTAACATTTTAAAACAATTTTGCTGCAAAAATATTTTAAATGAATGAAGAAATTAGATGATTTTAGTGTGAAATTGCACTAATATACTGTATGGTTTAAATATATTAATGTATATCTTTATGCAATTTCAACAATGTTCTTCATGGTATGATTTTGCACTGAAAGTTAATATTTAAATTCTACTTAAAACTTAACTGTTTTGCATTTCTGAAACCAATTGGTACTCTTATTAAAGCTTCAGCTTTTTTAGCAGTAAAGATATGATTTCCTAGGAAATCCAATTATGTTCTTCTAAATAGTATTTGAATAATACTTTTCCCTTAAATAAAGTAAAAATAAAGAAGCAGAAAGAAAGAAAAAACCTCTGTGTAAATTTTTAAATCATCCGATATGGAGAATTAGATTTCTGATAATCATTAAATATCAAAGAAATTCCAACCAGACCCAATGTGGGCTACCTTTTTATAGAAGTGAATTTATGCATGTATTGTAGGGGCTGTACTGATGAATATGTTTGAGGCTTTCAGCTCTTAGTGGATACAAAATAGAATGATTGATAAAATCCTCCCTACTATTGGCTATTATTTACTGACTCTTAAGTGGCAGGTTGTATTTATGCCAATTTATCTGCTTCAGGGAACATTCTTGATAGCAGAACAAAGTGAATAAAAGTAGTTTGCTTTGCAAATGAATGCAAATGGGAGAGCCTTTCGGAAAGCCCTTTAACAGGGGCAGTGCACTTTGATTATGAGTGAAGCTGCCATTTGGACATGGTGAAAAGAGCACGCTTGAACCATTGATTGGGGGAGACAGTAAAAAGTCAGGAAGGGCCCCGTTAAGCTTGCAGTGAGGCAGGCGGATGTCAGTGTGGTTAGAGCACAGTGGGAGAATGACAGGGAGGATTAGTGTCAGGGAGAAGCTTTGCTGTAGCTGTGGAGATAGTCCCTGGGGTCACTCACCTCTGACTGTTGTTCTGTGCTGATGGCTCTGTAATGCAAACTGCCCGATGTGTGCCTGTTCATTATCGGAAATGGTGATTAGAAAAGGTATTTGTCTCAAAGGTTTCCTTCTCTCTCTCTCTTTCTCTTTCTTTCTTTCTTTTCCTTCTACTCTTTCTTTTTAATTAAAGGAAAATAAGGTAGGCTTCCTCAATCTCTCTGCTGACTACTGGAGTATTGTTTAATACCAGAGTGGTTTACTACCTCTGGTGGGGCATAGTTTAGTGCTAAAATGTAATGTTTAATAATTGTAACATGGTTATTTGCCGTTTGATAATAATTTCTTTTGCTTTGCTCAGTTTTAGATTTGATCACTGGTGGTGCTGAGTAACATGCAAAGAATATTTGCTTTTAGAATTTTTGTTTATGCAGTTTTATAATCTTTAAGGTTTTGTTATGCAGTTTAATAATTTGGTCAACTTTTAGAAGCTATGTACCTTCTCAAAATTGAAATTGTGCTTATTAACGTGGACTTGATTGTTTAAGTCTTGGTCACAACAGTGTCCGATTTTATTTCTGTTCCGAAGTTTGGTAAAATGCTAGCATTTGAGAAGTTAAATATTGTTACATAGAATGAACAAAAAATACATATTTGTCTATGTTACTGATACTAGATCAGTATATTTATACTTGTAAGATTTTTTTTTGCTTTCTTTAACGTATAATTTAAAAAGAAAAACTTCAAAACCTTCAGTAGTAAGTTATTTGAGGCATTTGTGAGCAGCATTGCATTTCATAGCAAAAATGCATTTCATAGGCTTTGAGAATGGTTTCTCACTTTAATGCAAAATGGAATGGTCTTTTTTTTTTCCCTCCCGTGTCTTCAAAAGCCTGGTTTTGCAATATTTCTACTTTCTTGGTTGGTATACAAAGGAAAATTTAAAAGTCTGCCAGAGCTTTGCATTCTAATGTTAAATATGCAACTCAAACCTTTATTGAAACTATTGAGGTACATTTTAGTATTACTGTTTTTTGCAGAAAGCATATTGCCAATAATTTGTTTCACAGGCTTTTTAAATGTTTTAGCAAGCATTCTTTCAATTATCTTTTTAAATATTCTTTAATGTTTTGCAGGCACCTGAATGGACAGAGGAGGACCTCAGCCAACTGACTAGAAGTATGGTTAAGTTCCCAGGAGGCACCCCAGGTCGATGGGAAAAGATTGCCCACGAATTGGGTCGATCTGTGACAGATGTGAGTTCACTGAGATTTGCATTGTATGGAGAGTGACAAACCAGAACAAGCTAACTATGTAGAAGGCAGACATAGATGGGTCCAACATTATCTTTGGAGAAGGGATACAATCCTTTTAGGACCTCCAAGTGAACCTTAATGAAATAAGCAAGAAGCAGATGTGAGCTAGTCCTCAGGTCCACAATTAGCAACTGGGTGAGGAATTCTAGTGATTAGAGGCTTAAGCTACTGTAACCTAATCACACAAAAACAATGCCAGTTTTTGTGTTTATAGTGACCCCTTGAACTGTGGAAAAAATAGCTCCCAAACTGATAAGAATTAGAGCGGTATTATCTCAGCTGGATCTTTTTATCATTGAAGTACAGATTGCAATGGGTATTTAGACAGGTAGTCTGGATTAATTAAATGAGCAGAATTCTCATAATGCAAGTGGATGTTTGCCTTTTTGTTTCAAGGATGATACCCAACATCCGTTTTGACAAGGTGTTTAACTAGAAGAAACTCTGTGTGTGTGTGTGTGTGTGTGTGTGTGTGTGTGTGTGTACGCACGCGCGCGCTATTAATGGCCATATCTAACATTTGAAAAACAAAGTATTTACCTGGAAAGGTTTGGATTTAACATTTTGATGCTTTTATTGAGGAAATGTAGAGTAGAGAATCTTTTTAAAAGCACCTAGCACAGTGCCTGACATTTACTAAGTACTCAGTAACTGTTTAATTGAAATTGAGAAAAATCCTTATTTTTATCAGTTATCAAATTCATATGTTCATAAAGGGTAGTAGTAAATATGCTTTACTAAATTTACTTTAATTAAATCCTATAGATCTAAAAACACTTAAGCAGTTACTGAAACAAAGATTTGAGTTTGTCCTTCAATTCTGTTAGTATACCTTTAGGTCGTTTTTGATAATGACAATTAAAATAAGACCTGGAAAATGGTCACTAAACACAGCTACCAAAAATAAAGACTTGTTATAAATGCTATAAGTTACTTTCTGTAATAAACTTCCACTTTTTTAATTTAGAAACAAATTTAAAAAAATATTATCAATTGAGTATCCCTAATCTGGCATGTTGGCACTCAAAAAAATTCAGATTTTGGACTTTTGGATTAGACATATTCAACCTATACTGTCAAGTTTTGGTTTCTTATTTTTTGAGGTTTTTTTTTTTTTTTTCTTTTTTGCATGGGACATGGTTTGAGAATTTTAAAATATATATATGAATACTGTTTCTACTCTATAATTCTTTTAAAATCACATTTAAAAGACTACAAGTTGAATTTTTATAGGATATTTTGCATCATTTCCACTTCAGAATTAAATTCTGATTATGGGGAAAATAGCTATTGTATCTTGCACCAAATTTTTATTTATTTATTTATTTTGCAATGGTTCACGAGGAGACCAGTCATCTTCAGTGACTGGAGAAGAACCATAAGGATACCTTTTCTGCTAAGAATGTTACGGGGATGGTGCATTTTATTATCTTGCTTTAAGGTTGTTCATAAAAGATAATTTAATAATGACTTATCAGTAAATATCTGACCAAATTAAAGACATTCCATGATTACTGATATTTTAAGTACTATGACCCTCTGATTATAAAGCTGCTATTAATATAGTGATTATCAAAAATTACTAAAATAATTTTTAAAAGTTATACATTTTGGTTTAAAAGGGCCCAAAACTTTTAGTTCAATTGCTTCATGAAAAAGTAAAATAGTACACTAATTTAGTGTCTCCTTTGAAGACAGCATCACTTTTAACTTTTTAAATAGTATTTCTGTGAAGCTCTACAGTTAATGCTAAAAAGGCAGATAAGAAATCGAATAGAGCAAAATTTTAATTTGTTGTCATTGAAATCTGGTTAAATTTTTATATATATTTTAAGAGGAGAAAGGTAAAAGTTTTAAAAATTCTAAGAATATACATGATCTAACCAACATAGCTTGTAGATCTAGAATATCCTTAATTCACAGGAGTAGTCTTGATGCAGTCAAAGGCATCTTTTTAAACTTTGCAAATTCATTCCATATGTTTCAGTTTCTTTCCCCCTAGACTTAACCCAACGGAGACTGATTCCATGTCTGTAACAGATATTGTCTCCTTTTACCATAGAAGTGGCAAATCTGACTTTTTGAGGCTTGTTGTTGTTGTTATTGTTTTGGTTTTTTGCCACATATTCTGTTTTCATAATACCAAAAGTACCTTGGAAATAAATACTTATTTACCTAAACTTTTGTGGCACAAAAAATATGGCATTGAAAACTTTTCTTCTATGTCCGTGTAGACTCACCGCCTTTTTGTTCTGTGAGCATCATCTCCGTATCTAGACTATACATTTCATTTCAGTACCCACACACACACACAGTTCATCCCTCGCTAAAGAAGAACAGGTGTCTGAGACCCAGCTAACTCATTTTAGTAACTAACACACAGGGATGACTTTTGAATCACATCGAAGCAGCTAAAAGGGATGGGTTCAGCTAGTACAGTTTCTTTGGCAGAATGTTAAGTGAAAGTTAACCGCACTTTAAAAGAGTACTTGTGCTTCATTTTGGCTTATGGTGTTAATTAGATTTGTTTTCGTTAAGTATTTGATTATGAAAAAGAAGCCGGGTTCAGTTGGGTGTCATCAGAACTTCTGCATACTGACCTGATCACCCGACCAGTTCGCCCCTGCTCTGCACAGCTGTTCTCTGACCGGGTGTCCTTGCTAAGTGTGTAGCTTCAGGCTTAGTTCTCTTTCCTTCAAGAAACAATTGACCTTTTGGGGAGAGAGGTGAGTGCCAGTGGTAGGATCTATGTGAGTCTTTATTTGGGTTGGCAGATTACAGGAAAAAATAATTTTATTCCTCAATTAAGAAAGGAATTAAGTATATTAGTTATCATAATTAGCAGAGTTAGATTGCTAAATTCTACTCTGGATAAATTCAAGCAATGTTTTTAGCTTTAAAAAAATTGATGCAGAGTGTATTTTAACTTAGACATACCTAAACTGTAAGGCCTACTTTATTATGGATTAAATATTTTAAATGTTGATATATGCCTTTCAGCAAATAATTTTGGTAACCACAAAGGACACCCAAATTGTAAAAACAACAGAGGAAACAAAAACTGTCTGGCATGTAAAACCAACTTATATGTGATTATTAACTGCAGGTTTTCTAAATTAAGGTCAGGGAGCCTCAGATTTCTTGCTTGTGAAGTAATACTATTCTCTTGCCTGAAAGGATGTAAACTGATTCTGCTTCTCACTGTGGTCACTAATCTCTTGCATTCTGGTTGTGATAACAGACTGATTGGAGATTTTCTGCCTGCTTGGAAAAAGCCCAGGTAGGCAGCAAAACAAAAAGCAGGTGGCTAGATTTAAACAGACTTTTTTAATTAGCTCAGTACCATAGTGTGAGGTAAGAGGTGTGTAGTTAGATAAACAGCCCATTATGTGAGTGAAGATGATAAAATCCCCAATTTTATCTTCTCTAGCTTCAACTAGGAAGAAGATACCTATTGGGGGAATTTATATCTTCTTGTTATGGTAGTTTCAAAAACCCATATCTTCAATCAAAAATGTGCTTTATGATTTATCAGTGAAATAAATGTACAGTTATTATTTTGGTAAATATACTGCTATGACTTTTACAATCAGACTAGTCCTATACAAAATTGTAAAGGTGACAAAGATTGTCCTTTTGGTTTTGCCCCCTTACCAGCGTTATAGCAGTCCTCTTGGTCTGAGCCTGATCCCATACTCCTTCTTCTTCCGTTACTTTTTCAACCTCACAATCTTTAAAGATATTTAAATTTTAGAATGAAATGAGCGCTTTGTCCCTTTCTCCTTGCTAGATGAGTCACTAGCTTACCTAATAAGCAATTTTGACATGATGCTAATATAATTTATTGTATTACCAAATATCATATACACACACTTAACTTGTATTTTAATAGGAGTCTTCAAGTCCTTATCCCAAGGATATGAGTGACTGGTTTAAGAATTTCAGGCAACCAGACTGCCTGTTTGAAGGAGAGAGAATGCAGTGTTAATTTGATGTGGTAGGACCTTTTGTGTTCATCACTTAAAGCTACATAATTAATTGCTTAATCTCTCCATTGTCCTGGTTAGAGTTTTGCTATATATAATGGGATATCTAGGCCAGAGGTTTATAGATTTCAATCCCATGTCACCACTTCCATCTCAACATTGAGCAGAATCACACAGAAGACATGATTATAAACTATAAACTCAGTACATGAGCATAACATTGCAAAGAGCAGTTAAGAGATCAAACCAGTAATTTTATTTTTAACTTCTTTTGTGATAATGTTGATTACTCCATCACACATTGTTGTAGTTTTTCACACCTTTCAACATTTAAATATTATTTTATTTGACCTTCACAACAACATTGTGAGGTAGATAGGCGACCATTCTTTATTCTCCTTTTACAGCTGGAGTACACTGCTCCTAAGATACTTGTTAAAGGTAACACAACTATCAGTAGAACTGGGACAAGACCAGATATTTTGATTCCTTACCCAATATGTTTTTACCACTACTTAATTCTGCTTTATTGCTGTGTGTATGAAAAACACTTTAAATTTGGCTAGAGATTTTTATCATCAGACATTTTTTGATAGAGCTCTATGTTCATAGCGAAAAAGAAACTTTAAAACATACACTCAAATAAATGTTTTACCAATCAATCATAATAAAAAATGATCTCTATAAACATTTTGTTATATATCATTCTAGACTTTAGTTTTCCTATATAGGCATATGAACCGATATACTTTTAACGGTATTAATCTGTTTCCAGTCCTTTCACTTTGTTACGGAGCATGAGCATCTTTTCATGGCAATAAATAAGATGTACATCATTTTCTGAAGAGTTGCATGATAGTCCATGTTGCCGTGATGTAATTAACCAATAGCCTATTGATTGACATTTAAATTACTTCTTTCTTTGCTATTTTATTGAGATGAACATACTTTTTT